AACTCCAAAGTTAATTTTTAAAAACTTTTAACCCTCAAATTGTTTGTCATGGAACATAAATACATCTGCTCTTTACAGTATGTGTAAGTGTTGCTCTAACAGAGCGTTGATGCTCTTAATAAACCGTTTTAGAGGCTATGGCTTGTCTAATGAATGGTAAAATCTATATCACGTTATTTCACAGTATGACTGAATATTTAAATGATCGCATTAGGGCAAACAAAAAAAAAAGATGGAAAAGGCCTAAATTACACTCTGCTAATGCAGTAAACAGTCAATTTCAGTCACTTTGCACTTTTTCAATAGCAAGCTTTCCAGACAGATTGGCTCTGTTCCAAAACCTAGTGAACTGCCTACATGGGCAACATTATGAAACATTATTCACAAACTCTGTGATAGGAGGATTAGTCAAAAAGGAAGGCAGCATAAATTGAATAAATAATTGACAATTTTGTACTAATTTTTGATAAAGCATTTTATGCTTTATATTTTTTGTTTAGTAGTTTTTGATTGTGAGCTTATAGATTGTTTTCTTATAGTGTTATTGCATACTTTGAAATACAATTGGTTCAATCTAATATATGTGATTTGTGCAAAAGTACTGTTTTAATAGTATAGTCTGAAATTGTATTCCTTAAAGAACCCCTTTTATGCAATTAAAAAGGTCCTATTTTGATTTTGGGGGTCTCCAACAACAGTCTGATATAATCTGCATTTATTTTTACCTAATTATCCCAACGACTCCCAAAGGATTCGTTCAGCAATTTATTTGTTCCCAAACCCCTCCTTAGCATGAGGCTAAACTGTGCTGATTGGTCTGATGACCCAGTCTGTTGTGATTGGTTGACTGCGTTCAGCGTGAGACAGAGAGAAATGCTCACCATGGCTTATCAACATTGTTGAAGTAGTCAGACTGCAGAGCATATGTGTGAGCCCAATGCACGAGTGCATTAAAGCAATGCAGTTCAACACCATTGATGTATTTTTGCAAAAACAAACCTCAACCACTGACTCTTCAGCGGCAATTTATTTGAACCACTCAGAGTCGACTCTTTTGTAGATTAAATTGTTTTAAACACTGTGGATTTTCCGTTTTAAGCCTTAGCTGGATATTTCACTACACTTTGAGCTATGTTACACTGCATAAAATTTCATTTTCAAAAATCAATAATTGGGGCTCTTTAAAGGCAGCTGTCTATATAGGCAGCAGATGGCAGGGCAGCTCTCTAGGTATGAACAGAGCCATTAATTAAGCAAACTATATTAAGTATAGATTCATTTAAGTGAGTATGGTGCAAGTAGTCAGTTTTATTAATAATACAACTCATTTAAGTTTTTTTTTAAATAATGCAATTCCCACATTTTTGGTTTAATCACGGGCTTACTGTAGATGTATGTATTTGTAATGATGCCTGATAATGTTTTAAGTCTGCAATAGCCATAACTGCTGGCAAAAGAACACAATGAAAATTTCACTATTGATATTTTTTTATTCAGGATTTAAAAAACAAACTCCAGTACATCATGCAAAGGATATGTACTGTGACTTAAAGACACTGAAAACTTATTGCCACTCAAACAATCAAGTCAAAGTATATCTTCAAACAAATTGTATGTAATCTAAAATCTATTGAACAAATCTTTAACAACACTTCTGTTTCTAGTTGTCATCTTGCACCTTGCAGCTTTAGGGTCAGATGTTGTTCATTCCATCTGTTTGTGTTTAAAATAAAACAAAAAATCAGCTAAAGAGATCCTTTCTGAATCTGTGACACAAGCTTCCTTCAAATCTCAACTGTTTTGCCTGTTTTTATTCTCTCTAAAGTCTATCCTCATGTGCCAAGGCCAAATGGCTCTATGGACAAACTGCTTTTCAGTAGTTGCTATACAGCCATTTTGTGTTTTTAAACTGATACTTAATCCCCCAGCTCTGACCTGGTCATTTTGATCTTCAGTGGGGTATTTTTGTCATCCACAGACACTTTTTTATAAGCAAAACCTTGATATATTTCTGAGCTGGAAAACTGCTGGATAATGGCCCGTGTTTACCACAAGTCAAAATGTTCATCCTCAAAACAAAGGGCTTTTTTTACTGGCCCACTGCTCCTGCTGTTGGGGTGAAGCAAAAATGCTATTTATTTTTAATCAGATGCTCCATTATTGATGCTCCTGCTCCTCTGGGTTCTGCCTGCTGTCCTCACCATTCTAACCGCATGTTCCCTCAACCAGCGCACAATGGGGTGCTATTGGCTTGTAAACACAGGCAACATTTCTCTTAAACATGGTCCCTGTTTTATATATTTGGCGACTTCAAGTGCATACCTTAAGTTATTATAGTTTATCATTTTTATTTCTCTACCATTTTTAGGTTTGCTGTATATTTCAGTTTTGTTTTAGGTAGCTGCAGTAATGGTTTTGTTAGTTTTAGTTTCTTCTTCATATTAAAGATCATACTGTATATGTGGTTAAACATCTACATTTTTTGGCAAATGAACAAAAGTTAGTACTTGTTGTTTAGTAAAGATGTTTTGGTATACAATCTTGCACTTGACTGATGTGTTTGTCTCTAAAAGCTTCATCTTTTAGAGGTATTTCTCCAAATCACCCAATTTTACAGCACACACGGATGGCTGTAGCCTGCATCAGACTATCTCCACATCCCCTGTTCCCCTCCCCTGTTGCAATGTTATGTTTTCTATATGTTTATGTGTCTATGTGCTTGTTGCTGGGGCTTTTTTCCCCCTGTTCTCACACTGCCTTACTTTAAGGACAGTCTCTTTTTTACCTACTTTTTGTTCTTATTGTTATCTTTTTTCATCCTTCTATAAAAAATGGTTTCTCTCGACTGATCTACCTTATCCTGAAATGTGTAATGTTTGTGCATGGTCGGAGGGGTCCAATTTCGCTGCATGCAACAGTGTTGTGATAAATAGAGGCTTCATCATTACCATCATAATATGTGCTTCCTTATTCTAAAAAAATCTCTATTTATTTTTGATAACTGGTATTTTATAGAGGATAGTTTTTCTGTAACTGTTGTTAGTGTCATGTATTTTGAGTTGTTAGTTTAGTTTGTTGTTTGTTTAAATTAATGAAAATAGTTCTATTGGGTTTTGTTTTCAGTTACTAAAATAACATTTGCATGCACTGGTACAATAACCTTTATTTAACCAGGTATGTCATTTGAGAACCAGTTCTCATTTACAATGACGACCTGGCCAAGAGGCAACAAGAAAAGCAGATGCAGTACAAAGCAGTAGGAACACAATACAATAACAATTTCACAAATGCAGATAATACATATAAAACTAACTAAAAACTAAAAACAAGCACAGTGATCTTGAACTATTGACTGAATCGAATTTTAAAAAGATGATAGTGGAATGAAAGTGCTGAGCTTTAAGGTCTGCTGCAGATGATTCCAAGCATCAGCAACAGAAAACTGAAAAGAGTAGCAACCAAATGAAGTGCGAACTTTGGGTATGCAAAAGTTAATAAAATTACTAGAGCGCAGATTTTGACATGTTTCCTGAATGTTAAGAAGTGACTGTAAATATAGTGGAGTTTTTCCAATAAGAGTATGACTGGGTGATAAATCAAAAACAACAAGGTAAAAACAAATAGAAATTTCACACTTAGTGTGACAAGTAAGGGATAGTGTACATCAAGCTGATTGTTCTCGCAGATTAAAGCCCTACAGGTTTATCAGCGGCCAAGCGCAAAGAGAAGTGCTGCTATGAAACTGAAGGGCATTATTCTGCATGTACATTGTCCAGCTTATTAAATGACCACTTGCCAGTTACAAACATTGATGGAAATATGTCTAGAACTTTAAAAAGGTGTAACATCGAGATGACCAAAAAATAAGCTAATGGTAAAAAGGTGGCAAGAGAAACACAAAACAGCAAGTTGGCATTGCAATAGATTTGTTGCTCCCATTTTTATAGCTGTACAAAATAATATAATAATAAATTTGAAAAACCAAAACAAATGGGAGAGGGAACTAAAAGTTGTGCTAGAAAATCAAAGAAAGAAATATAACAAAAATATCCCCATAATCTCCTTTAAATAAGAAAAGAAAATGAAAAGAATAACTCACAATAACTAAAAACAGACAAATACAAATGAGCTCACTTTGCTAAACTAGTGTGTCTAAACATCAAAAAGCCGGCTGCAAGGTGTGTATTACGTGACTTACTATGCTGTTCCAGGTCTCCCTTGTCTGCAAGTCATCTTAAGTTTTAAATGGAGCTTTAGCGGGCCAAAATGTGCAAGACACACAACATCTTTCGTGAACTCAGATATTACAAACAACAGAACTTGTAACACAGATCATTCCAATAGATCTCACTCAAAGTCAGCATTAGTGCAAGCTAAAATAATAGCTCCACAAAATAGCCATTCGACAAACAACAGCAACTGATTTCTCCCGTTGCCGCTTCTGATTTTAAGGTTTCTGCGCATATTGTGATTGGCAAGGGAAATACGTGTCATCAGAGGGTGATTTATGATTAACAGTCCTGTCAGCCAATAGTGCTCCAAATGTAGGCGGTACCTAAATGTCAAAGTGACAGGTAGAAAGAGACAGAAAGTCTGTCAAAACTGTGTACAGTTTGTAACATTGACACAAAATTACAAAAAACAGTTAGACAAAAGACATTGATCTGAGCTGAAACTTGCTCTTTAATTTAATGTAAAGCTTTCAGAAAGAAATATGTATCAAACAGCTCTATGCAGCCCACACTAACCTACTTATATTATAATCCACTCACAGGATGATGCCAACCAGTCAATAACAGCAGAGTGTAAAATAAGCATATAATATAAATATATTCACTAATGGTCACGATATTTCAAAGTACTCTAAGCCTGTGCCATTAGTGTCAGCATTTGTGACACTAACTATATGTAAATTCTGCAAAGGTTTGGCCACATGTAAACTTGATGTTTAATTAGCACCACCGAGTCTCATTATTTTGACTCTCTCCTGTCTCTCCCAGGTGTACAACACTGCACTATGACCCTGATCTGCCATCCACCACCATAGTGATCACGTTCCACAATGAGGCGCGATCCACCCTACTGCGCACAGTTAGAAGGTGAGATTGGACATGAATCCATCTGTATTTTTCTGCAGCTTTGCATATTTGTTTCTTTTCTATTTGTGTGACAAAGAAAACATGCACCTTTATGTCCTCATTGTGCTACGTAAAAGTAGACATTGTTATTCTATATGCCTTATTCACTTTCTTACGAAAATATACAACAATTATGTCTTTGAGGGGTATAAGAGCTGAATGATCTCAGGAATCTCTTAATTGTACAGTATATCTACTCTGAAACTTTTTTTAGGGATTAGTTCAGTCCTCCCCATTTATGTTTGACCATTTACCTTTTGTTCTATTAGTTTTACATTTAACTAGTTAAATTAAACAATTAACTACAATTCGCTTCAGGAACCGTTCTCTTAAAATAACATAGCAAAACCATCTGTTCACATGAAGTGTTCACCATAGTGCAAATGTTAAAGAATTTCACTTGTTAAGGATTTTCCTAAAAGAGTTTTCGAGAATTCCTAGATTGTCTATGAAAGGAGCCAGTATATGTGATGAGCCTGAGTCTCGAACCCGGGTCTCAGGTGTAGTAGACTAGTGTTTTAACGTTCAGCCACAGGGAGAGTTGGTGAACCCAATTGCCAAGGCACAAGGTCTAGTTCAAAAAAAGGTGTTTATTAAGGAAATCCAAAATCATCAAAAAAGGCAGCCAGGCAAAAACATAGGAATTCTACAAGCTAAGCAGTTAACAAACATAAAGTCCTCCGTGGAGCAAAGGGTACTATAGCCAAAAAACACAAAATGTAATGACCAGAGGACTTACGGCAATAGCGATAGCACATCAAACTTAAAATTGAAGTGACAAGTGAAGACAAGAGGGTAGAATAAATAGGCTAGTCTAACAAGACACAGCTGAACAGAATGAACACAAATGAACCCCAAAAACACTGGGGAAAATGGCGACATCTTGTGGAGAAAACAAACAATAGCTCAGAATATGACCGTATACTGATTTTACGTGCAGACATTGTTGCAACATAGCCTCATTCTGAAAACGTAGCCCATATACAATTCTGGAGATCACGAATTATGTAGCAAGAAGTACAAATGGCTGCATTTCCTTTTTAAAATGAAGTCTACGGGGCGGTATGACGTAATTTCTTTTTGCAATTGCCTCCGTGTGGATGGCTTTCCCGCTTCTACCAGTTTGTCCTGTAGCTCGCTATGTACGTTGGTTGACTTGAGATGCAGAGAGGAGTTGCAGTCGATCGGTCAGTCAGTCATTTATTCAATAAGTCAGTTGACAGCGGCCTCTGGTGGATTTACATGAGTACAGCAGGCACAAATGGCACTCGCGAGAGATATTTGAGATCTGAAAAATCTTACACAGCGGACTCTGGTGGATTCGTGAAACAAAAACTGCAAAAAAAAGTAGCTCCTGGGTCGTATTTGGCGCTCTCCAGAAATGTATATAGAGGTACATTTTCAGAATGAGCCTGGGTTTGCCAGGAAAATCTAAATTTATATATATAAGAGCTCTTTCATTCTGTCACATAAATCAGATGAACAGTTAAAACATTACTGTTATGTCAACATGTCATGCAATGAAAAACCATTTACATGCTGTAGCTAGATCTACTTTAAATAGTCTATAGTTTCAAATGGCTTTTTCTTCTATTTTCAAATTATAATAAGAGTGGGTAACACTTTAGAATAACTATCCCTTATAACTAGTTAATAGACCGTTAATAAACTGTTAGTTAACAAGTTATAAATGACTTGTTAAATAAAAATTAATAGTTTGTTAATCATTTTAACTTGTGCCTTATAGATGGCCAATGAATAACTTACAAGCTGTTAGTTAACAAGTTGTAAATGACTTCTTAACTGTATTTTAATGATTTATAACTATACCTAATAAATTAGTTATTGATCATGAACAAGCGGTTAGTAAATTACTTAATAAAGACTTGTTAAGTATCAGTTAACGGTGTATATATGTTATTGGGATCTCATCTGTAAAGTGTGAGTAAATATATTAGTTAAGCGTTAGTTATTAGTTTATGTATGTTATTGGGACGTTATTCTAAAGTTGCAACTATTCCTCATTTACTAACAGTTAATAAATGAAGAATAGCTGCAACTTTGGAACAACGTCCCAATAACATATATACACCGTTAACTGATACTTAACAAGTCTTTATTAAGTTATTTACTAACCGCTTGTTCATGATCTATTACTAATTTATTAGGTATAGTTATAAATCATTAAAATACAGTTAAGAAGTCATTTACAACTTGTTAACTAACAGCTTGTAAGTAATCTATTAGCCATCTATAAAGCACAGTTAAAAATAATTAACAAACTATTAACTTTTATTTAACAACTTTTGTTAACTAACAGTTTATTAATGGTCTGATAAATAGTTATAATGGATGGTTATTCTAAAGTGAGTATATAGGGGCATTACAATAATGACAAAGTAGACAATTTTAATTATTTGCAAGTATTTAACTGCACTGTATGGCTTTCTCATGTTTTTTTTTCTGTGTAAATGTTTGCTTTATGGACGTGTTTGACCATTTGTTTTGTAGTGTTTTCCGTGTGCATTGTGCAGATTGAGTGAAAAAATGTGGGGACTTCACATTCAATCCTGACCTTTGACCTGCTGTAGGTTGATGGAGAACTGAATAAGTCTTGCTGTATCTGCAGGTCAGGCCCCGTGTTGATTATAGCTTAGAGACAAGAGACGAGGAGTACATTTTAATTACTTTTTGTTCTTTAGGAGCTACTTCAGTGGAATAAAGCTTTGTGCTTATGCATAGGAAGGTAGCATTTCACTGAAAGATTATATTCAATAACATGAACTAAGAAGAAACAATATTTCTGCACCATTTTAGTGTTACTATAGTGATAATAGTTTAGTAATTAGTAATTTATTAGTATTTCGTATTAGTATTTACTATATTTAAAATGCATTTTTAAAAGAGCTAGTACTCTGACAGTTACATGAAGAAATCAATGAACAAATATATTTAATAATTATTTTTTGTAATCATTGCTCAGGCAGTTTGTTGACTAATTTATTTATATTAACAATTACGTAGTGTTACCCTCTAAATATTATCAAAATAAATACATGTTTTAAATGTATGTGTATATGAATGCAAATTATATATTCAGTACAAGAAAATGAAATCTATGTTTAGATTATTGGTTATTATTTCATTATACATTATTAACAAGTGCAACTCTTTCTATCAACTAAGACTTTTGCCTAATAACCTTTAATTGGCTGCATATTAATTGTTATTCCAGAAGTAGTATGGGTTTAAGTGTTAGAGATTTAGAATAATATAATGCAGAATGTGTCCTTTACAAGTAATAAACCGACAATATCTTAATAATTGACAGGTAATAAGCCATTAATTATTGCTGACATTTGGTTCTTAAACTAAAATGTTATCAGACATTACTATTTTACTTATATTTTGCTCCTAAGACAGTGTTTTTCTCCATTTCAAATTAATATAATGCAAATAATTCTAATATTAATAGTGATCGTATTCAAATATACCTTACATTATTTTTACATTATATTTAATTTTATACTTTTTAAATTGATAGTATTTGTTGCACTGCTTTTAATTTATGTTGAATTAAATTAACAGTATTCTTACATCTACACTGTAAAAAATATCTGTAAATGATCTGTTTTCTGTATTTTTTCTGTATTTATTTTTTTCCCCATTTATTTATGCCTTTGAAGTTCATTATGGGACCGTAATTTCTCTTCCAACAACTTTTAATCTAGAAATGTTTGAAAAAGTGTCTTTTATTAACATTTTTAATAGTTTAAAATGATATTTTGTCTGGGTTGGTGTTGTTTATTAAGCTATAAAACCTTGTTATAATCTGCCGGTACATTATTTCTCATTTCTCTATATATTATTTCTTATATATTACATTATTTCAAACTACTAAAAGTCACTTTGCCAAACTGTAGAGTTCAATTTTCAACATCAAAAATCAATAAAGCAGAGATCAAAGTCCCATAATGCAATTCACAGCCTTAAATAAAAATAACACAGAAATACAGAAACACAGAAACCTTTACAGTGTAGCCTTTTTTTTTTTTTTTGATCCTATAAATATTAGCTATATTAAACTTCATATTATGCGCTGAAATATCACCCAGATGTGTTTTAGTTAGATTTCTGTAGCGTTAGCTGTGTGCAGGTGCAGTGTGGCTTTCCAGGCTGTAGTGAAGGACTTTGGTGTGAGGTGTTTGGCCCTCGAGTGTGTAGAATCTAAACTACTCTCATCACACATTAGTCACGGCAGCTGACGCACACAGCAGGAAGGACTTCTGCCCTGCCGTAACCCCTGAATGTTTGATAGATACCAGCCATTAAACAATAGCTCCGATAATAATATCAAAATATCCCAGATACGCTCAGACAGCTTGATGTCAAATCTTACCTTTTCCTCTTTGTGGCATCTGTCTGTCTCTCTGTCTTATGCACACAAACATCCCTTCACATGAACGCTTTCATAAACTAAACATTTACACAGAGTGGGTTTGAAGTGTGGGCCCCAGGCACTTTTTGATGGGTGTTGCTGCTGACAGAGGTTATTACTACAGGGAGTCCTAAGAGGTGGAAGTGAACTTTCCGGAGCATTTTCTAGTTTCCTCAGACTTTCCTTGCAGCTACTTATCAGGCAACGGAGAGAGACATGCGGAGAGGCTGTTTGTTTTCTGCCGGCCCTCAGGTATAGGGAGGTCAGAACAGACCTTGGTGACGTCTAATAAAAACATGGCCACTGTTTCCTCCGGTCTGAAGATGAGAAATTCCTATTGTAGACAAAAAAAAGGAGAATATGAATAGATTTGCCGGAAGGCCATTGGAGAAACGCTTGTCATTGTGATAGGCGATGAGAGTGTGCGTCACATTACTTGCATCCAAAGGCAAGAAAAGTTTATGCTAAATTTTTATGTTAATTTGTGGAATCATTATTTATTCAGGTTATTTGATGAATTTTA